AAAATGGCATCTGACCATCCAATCCAAATCATTTATTCCCCCCGCGGGAAGGGCTCCCTGACTGGTTCCTTCAGCTGAGACCGATGTTCTTTCTCAGCGCCACAGTCCTGTGAGCAGAAGTTCTACCTTGTGAGCGAAAAAGGTTTAGTAGCATTAAAGTTGTGAGCAAGTCTACATTTGACTATCATGTAAATTATTTGCTTTACAAGATTACTTCCATAATCTTGTAAAAATCTCAGAATAAATTCTGAACCCTTCCAGTCCGGCTTTCGTCCAGGCCATGGTATGGAGACAAACAAACAAAGAGAGTATCACGGAAACAACTATAACAGATAGAAACAAACCGTGACAAACTAACTAATAATAATTACTTCCAAATGCATTTTGATAATTTTGTATAATTTCCACATAAATAGTGCAAAACATATCAAATTATTCTGTGTAGCATGGAAAAATACAATCTCAATGTGTTATTAATTCAAAAAGATTCACTCAGTAGTGTTAAGTCCTTATTCCAAAAAAATGGGATAAAAGGGAAGAGTCTTCTAAGGAGAGGGGGGTGCATTCAGTGTACACAAATCAAAGCAGCTTCAAATCCTGTTGATAAGCGTTGTGCCTATTTTACTTCATTGGGGTATAATTCTTTACTTCACCCCAAGTGAATCAAGTCAAATTTCACCCACTCCTTTCCACTGTATTGGTAAACCTGGCCTCCAGAGACCAGGTCTACTCACCCATTCCCACTATATTGGTAGACCTGGCCTTCACTTGGAGATTGGCAACAATGGTTCCCCAGGAGGAAATGGCTGGTTTGGAGGGTGGAGTCTATGACATTGTACCTTTCTGAGGTCCCACCCCACTTCAAACCCCACCTTCTCCAGGCTCCACCCCTCAAAGATCCAGGAATTTCTCAACCTGGAGTTGGCCACCCTATTTCCTTCCCAGCCAACCATCAACCTACCTTTATCTGCCCTTCTGACTTCAGCTTTCCATCTCCCCCCACACACACACCTACAGCCTCTACCTAGGAAAAGTACAGTCTTTCTCCACAGTGGAGACCCAAGCAGAAGGGAGGCAACCTCAGCAGGGTATAGTGACACAGAGTCCACCCTGCAAAGCAGCCATTTCCTCCAGGAGAACTGATCTCTGCCATCTGGAGAGCAGTGTTAATTCTGAATGATCTCTAGCCCTCATCTGGAAATTGGCAGCAATGGTTCCCCAGAAGAAAATAACTGCTTTGGAAGGTGGACTCTATGGCATTCTATTCAGCTGAGGCCTCTCCCCTCCCCAAACTCTGGCTTCTGTAGATCCCACCACAAAATATCCAGGAATTTCCCATCCTGGAGTTGGCAACCCTAGTCAGGATTGGCCCCTATGAGTTCTTCACAAAGGCCAAAGTAGGCCTGGAAAGGGCCTCCTGCCTTTGCCTTTTTACTGATAGAACCAAGCTTGGTTGCCTAGCAAAGCCACTGAGGGGAAAGTTAGCCCCACAGCAGGATAAGAGAATGGTTTGACGGTTGGTGGCTCACCTCAGTAGCCAGCCAGCCACAGAGGAGCCAAGCAGGAGAAGCATCTTTGTCAGGAAAGACAGCCATTTTGTCAGTT